TTTCATCCAACCAGGATATCAGTTTGTGAACACGCAATTTATGCTTCATTTATGGTCACATACGCAAAACCGTTTTCTTCAATTCGGTCATTCATTTATTTATGCTTTATTACGAATATTTCACTTCATACTTGCACGACAATTCGCCTTGCTCTTTCTTCCGTGGATCTCGACCACACAGAGGCTACGAGATAAAACCGGCGCTGGTCGTTTCGATAGGGATGCACCGGGGCCGGATTTTGCCCTTCGGGTGGAGTCCAACTACAGGATTCAGCGGTGGCACTTATTAGTATTCACATTAGTTCACAAAATTCCGCATTTGTTTCAGTTTCGGATTATTGTACCTGGACCGGGCCGATTGGTGCGAACGTTAGCCGCATGTAGTCCGCTGTGGTTAACACTCACACTAATTTTTTCAGTGCAAACAAGTAGCGCCTTTGTTCTGACCGAAGCTGTTCCACTCGCACCGGGTCCGAAACCTGTACAGTCTCGTAAAACTGCCATCGATTTTGCTTCGCATGAAAGTTTGCGTCTAACCGGAGCTCGTGCGCCTCCGCCAAAAGTGTTGATGCCACCGTTAGATCTAGGTTTCAAGGGTCAAACAGGATCTGAATCTCGAAAGCCAAGTCGATCGGCAGGTGGCAGCGGTGGTGGTAGCGGTGGCGGTGGCGGCCATGGTAGCGGTGGTGGTCGCAAGTCTGGTGATTACCAGTCAGACGCTGCGTCCGATGATCCATGGTCTGTACCCTCGGCGTCAGCCACCGGGATTGAGGATAGTCAAAACTTTCGCCATTCCGGACCGCACTATTCAAGCAGACCAGACGGGAAAAAAGTGAACTATGGGCAGGGGAAACGGAAATCGAAAGGTTTTAATACGGCCTCGGATCAAGGTATTCGTGATACGAACTCGTATCAAAATGAACCTTCGAATTATCAGACTGCATGGAATCCCTATATCTATCCGCCCAAAATTCCTAACTCGCCGTCATCTTCATCATCCTCGTATTTTTCTGAATTTCGAAACGGTCCATCCGATCATGGCTACCCGGGAAAACAAAATTCGGCCTACAACTCGATGCCAAATCATGGCCCATATGCGGAAAATTCTCGGTCCGCGGGATCTTACCAACATCCATACAGATCTTGGGAATCAGCGGGGTTTATCAACCCCGGTCCAGTACAATCAAATCCAAATCAACCCGTTCTGGCTCCTTATCCGTTTGTACAGTACGACGTCGGTGCTCGAGGTGTAGGTGATCCTTACGGTCGATGGGAACCGCAAACCGCATACTACCAACCACCGGCTCAGTCATTTTGGAATCCGTATGCTCCACCACAGGCCGGTTGGTATACTGCACAGCTTGGTCCACAGCCCATATTACAAGGCGGACAGACTATTCAATTTATTCCCCCGAACGCACAGAGACCGGCCGAGATGCGACCTACCTCAGTGATCGGACATCCGTCAAATTATCGGGAAATCTCGCGGGAAGAAATGTCTCAACGTGTGCGTGAATACGAGCAGGCTCAACAGAGCAATGGAATAGAGGATCTTCGTCTACCATCATTATCCAATGCAGATCAAACTGGCCAGTCAAAAGATCCGACTGATCCTGGTACGTTTTGTCAGCAACAATATACTTATAAATCTATTTTCATGTAAAAATGAATGTGAGGATATACAGTTGGAATGTATGGCATTATTGTTCCAGGTTACTTTTCATCTCATTCTTTGTTTTGTGACGAACCAGTCTTCATTAAGTTATTTTGTATCAGATACAACACCACATAATGGCTGAGAACTTAATTACTCCTTTAGCAACAATGATAAATCACCTGTCCAAACTGAAACCCAACGGATGAATGGTTCGGCTTAGCAGTAAATGGGCTCGTCGAAGTTATCGGACTGATCGGGAAAAATCATCGGCTCTAGAATGACCGCCTGCTTTAGGGCCAATAATTTTCTGGATTGACTCGGCACAACTACTGTGTGATTCCTGCTGCCTCTGCCATGCGCAAGTGCGTGAATTTCCCGGTCGCGAATTACGAATGCTGTGACAGGTTATTCGTGGAATTTTGATGCCATTCTTCACTCGGCTTATGCGTTTCCTCAGTTCGGAGTATATGGTTTGGTCTGTGTGAGCCTGACGGTCAGCATGACAGAGCACACATATATGGATTTCATGGTTGAGTTAAGTTCATGGAACGAGAAGCAGATATAGCTGTGTGACATCATGGAACCATTGATTGCGACTGGACTGCGCAAATCACACTCAATCATATCGGCATTAAACCATGAAGCCAAATATAAATAAACGAAAACGTTTACGGGCACAGTTTATGCACAATATTTTCACGTGAAGCAGCTTGATGTCAGCAGAAAGTGAACGAGAGATTCCTTCGCAAGGGGAAAAGCTAAGTCCTGTTATTCACATCTGGTTTACGTCTGAGCAGGTTGTCATGGTTTCCGTTTCGTCGGTAGAACGCAAATTACTGTACATCCTTCCCTGTAAGGTTTCGTTAAATCGAACCATTTATCCAGCATTTAAACCGATCAGTGAATCTAGGAGCCTGACAATAAACCGACTTGGATCAAAGACATGAGTTTGCATCCAGTGAGTGATTTCACATTGTGTCATCTTCTCTGTTATAGCAAATTATCATTCGCGTCTAAACGTCAAATCGAAGTGGTGTCTACATCGGGGTCAAGTGGCTCAGTGTGTGTTCATACATTTAATCGAGCGTAAACAATGTTCACACAAAAGAAGATATCAGATATCGACGAATTCCTGTATAGGGCCATTATTTAAAACACTTGTTGCATCTCTCAGAGAATCATGACTAGGTGAACACTACACTGCTGGCATATTTGACTATCGTACTTCAAGACTAAATCTTTTTACTCATCTTGTAGTATGCGTTGAACTGATAGAACAGTGAAATCATCGAACCACATGGACAAATGAACACCCGTAATACACCTTTCTCATCAAGCTTTAGCCAAAACCCACAATCCTTTGGCCACGACCCGCAGTCCTTTAGCCTCGACGCACAACCTTCAGTCACACCGCTGTAGGCGAGTCAGAGCAAAAACTATCGGTATATTCTGAGGTCAACGAATGTCGAAAAAATTTACATTTTACAAATTTTCATATTGCAAAGCTTGACTAATAAATGAGAAGGTGTGACGATCGTATGCTACGCAGTTGGCTGTAGTAACGGCTTCACGTGGCGCACCACATAGTGATTGGAGTAGGTTTGGACGATATACCCGTACCGTCAAACCATTTGGTACATCTTGTATGGCTTCAGTGTTTTCAGCTAACCAGGTTTAATGTACTAAATGATAAGCTGTCCGATGAACGGGCGCATTGTCAAAGATAAAAACTACTGGGACACCCGGTTGCTCAGCAGCGATTAGTGTAGAGCAGATTGATAGGAACCCATTGAAAACATGCCAACTGATCTTTAGATGACATTCATATTTAAGAATACCAGTGACAAATGAACGTTATTATGTTCAAGTTGAGGCTGACCATCCAGCCCATCGAACGGAACACGGAATCTATCAAAGTGAAACCAGTGGAATATGTCAATTGGTTACAGAGATCGGGCAACGCAACCCTGAGACTGTATATTGACGAGACCCATTGCAACATATGGTCCAGTCGCAGTTATGGACGATCCTAAGTGGGCTGTAAAGCCATTAGAAGCCTCCCGTCCAGCAAAGGACCCAACGTGAACATAATAGCATGTTCATCTGTCACTGGTATCCCTAAATATGAATGTCATCTAAAGATCAGTTGGCATGTTTTCAATGGGTTCCTATCAATCTGCTCTACACTAATCGCTGCTGAGCAACCGGGTGTCCCAGTAGTTTTTATCTTTGACAATGCGCCCGTTCATCGGACAGCTTATCATTTAGTACATTAAACCTGGT